ATACCCCTCTGTCCCTTATTCCGAGACAGACTGTCTATGTCTGTCTGTCTGGACACTAAATTTCCATAAATTGATAGACTGTCGGCATACTCAAAATCAACACTCATCACAGCATAAAGAATAATTTAATTTTTGTTTACAGAAGTAACGAGCTGCCGAGGGAAAGAATTTTAAAATGATATTTATATTTGATTCAATGGAATATACCCAGGTAATAATCATAATGACTACAACGTTGTTAATAATAATAATAATAATAATAATAATAATAATAACAATAACAAATACAAGAAACAATGTTTAACTTTATGGCACCAGAGACTTTAATAATACTGAAACTGAAATTACGTAGATTATATACAATATGATACAATATGGCGTATAGAGTACAGAGGGATCCTTTTATCTTACGAGCTGTCTCACAAACAATAACCAAAAGCTAATGCAATCGTTAACTGCTCACATTATATGTTACCTATATCGTATGTTATGTACAATATACGTTTCCATATAACAGGTATACATATATTTATTTATACGTTCCAGATTATATGAGTATATACGCGGAAGCACGAAAACGCATCCTTGCCAATTATCTCGACTTCTACCCGCGGGCGTGACTAGTTAAAATAAAAACCTATGAGTTTTCTGCGATCGCTTCATCTCCAATTGTTCATCAAAGAGATAAATTCTAGGATACATGTTTCACTCCAGACTCCACCGGACAGATAAATTTCCCATGGGCTATTCTTATAATGTATTTTATTCCATTTTAATTAATTATCATATATATTATAAAGCCTATTCTTCATTTCATCCTTTTTTTTTTTTCAAAAGTATAAATAAATTTTCTTGATGTAACCGATAGTTCTTTTTTTCATCTATTGATACGGATGATCTAAAATGAGATATGTAATGGATGCATCACAGCCATCAATAATAAAACAAATATAATATTTAAAAAAAAAAAAACATTTTTAGACAGACAACTTGCGAGTTTTTATCCAAAATTGTTCTTTTCCAGATTAATAAAACTTTTTGTCAAAGTTACTGTGAGAAAAATTTGGATTTCTTCAGCTAAGAAATCAAATTGTTCAAAATTTTCAACACATCAATTTCTCACCTCAACATTGTTCTTTTCTATTTCTCAGTGTATATTGTATAACTTTATATTAAATTAAAAGTTCTGTAAAGAAAGCTTTTCCCCGAAATAGCGCAAAACTATTAGCTCTAAATTTTAAGGCCTTAAAACTTTATATCTAATCTTGATAGTTACTTTTCTATCAAAAGTTTTCAGTTGGTGAAAACCAATAACATATAATTTACGCTGATATCATATTCTATAATCATAACTACAACTCCAAGTCTAAAACACAAAATTCGATTAAAAACATTTAATTTTTAAGCCTCTGTATTGATGTCTTGTTTATTAACTAAAGCGTTTAGAAGGATGGCTTATATGATTTACAGTTATTAACTGTCTTATTTAAAGTTTTTCCACTTTTTAAATCTTTGTGCGCATTCTGCAGATTAGCTCTAAAAGACAAATTGAATTTTCAGCGGTTTCATCAAGTGCAAGTGTGTATCCGTGTGATAAGAGATATAGTGCAGCATAAAGCGAGTAATTGGCTGGTGGCAAACAGTGAGATCAACGTCCAGAGGCGTGTATATATATTTGGTACACAAAACTCCAAAGCAATACGATGTTGAATAAGGAGGAGAATAAACTTTTCAAACTGTATATCCACGCCGTTAACTCAATGGCTAACGAGCGATGGTCCGGGTATCTCACGGATCCTAATTCCCACTCTCTCAATGATAAATCTCCACGGTATAATACAAACAGAAAAACAACAAATAAAATAAATATGATACGATACTGACAAACAAATCTTCAACAAATATTGAATTAACTCAACAAAAGTTTAAATAAGATATTTTTTTTTTTTAATCTTTTTATTATTTCTTGTATACTTTAGATTTTATAAACTACTTTGTTTAATTTTAGAATGGCTTCGCAGTAAAAGTTGATTAACTTGTAATAGTTTTTGATGTACAGTCGTCGCATTTTGCATTCAAAAGTAAACTAACTAAAATCGACGTACTGGTTACATTTTCACGCTTTCTATTATTGATAATCAACTTAAAAGTGTTGATACTGCAGCTTTTTGATACATCAATCCAATTTAAGATAGTGTAGTGCGCAATATAGTTTACATTATTGCTTTCTCTTTCATTCGCTATCTCTTTCATATACACTATTTGCTGCTTTTACTCAAAAAAGCATGAAAAATTCAACAATAAATTCAAAATAAAAAATTGCATGATGTAGTTTAAAAAAGTTAAAGGTGAGATAATTTTTCAATGTTTTTGCATTATATTTCTGAAGTGAAGGTACTGTTATCTTGACTCATTCAAAATTCACGGCACAACAATCGCTGCAAGACAGTTTATATGGAATGCACGAAGAATAATGTACTACCGTGCGAGACTTTTTCTGTAAATTTCTGACTAAGTAATCCGCTTATAGAACTAATTCAAATAAATCCTCATTCTGTGTTAAATTCCCACAGCTTGAATGACTCATTAACGGCAGCTTATAACATGACTTTTGCATCCAGTGGTAATTGATAATAAGGGTGAAGACTCTTGATTGGAAAGGAGTCAATACGATACAATACGCAATATCCAACTTATTATTGATCCACCTGTATTTTTCGAAGCGATTATGAAACAATAAAAAGAACCCATTAGATTTATTTCAATCAAGTACTTTGTAACCTACCAATCTACTTAGTTCATAAATGAGTTTAATTTCATTATTAATTAAACGGGAATCCCTCGTAGAGTCAATAATTTAAATTAAGATATTAATCTCAAGTGTTTCATTGATAATCCGATTTCAGTTGGAGAAATTATCAAATGATAGTGATATGATAACAATCAAAATAAATATATCGGTGGCATTCAAAAGTAGAAATTACTAAATGCTTTAAACTAAATGATATCATTGTTTGATTAAGTATTAAGTATTGCGATCCGTAATCAGAACTAGTAATCCCAACAGTCACGAGTGCTTCTAATCAAATAACTTACTAAAATGAATGAGGAAATTATTAAAATATTAAATATAATTTATATGATGAAGAAAACCCATTAAAAAATTTATATTGTTGGATTTTTATTTATTTACACTTAAACAGGCACGACCTGAGACAAAACCAAATGAAATCGTTTGACACGTGGCTTCGAAACTTGATGAACGGGTTACATACAGTTCAGCAGCTCAAAGCTTACTGGTACTTCTATTTCAGCATTTCAACATGTCACAGACAAGGCTTTAAATCTGTACTATATCATCTACTATTCGGTGGCGACCACTCAGACTGTGTGTGAGAAAGTCACACTGCTCTGCTACAGAAGAGCTTTCAAAAGTTATACGACAAACAGTGCACTGACTGAGTTGTTGCCCGAACAATCATATCCGCCGTGGTTGGAACAGAAAAAGAAAATAAAATAGACAATTTGTTAAAGAGTAAAGTTTTGAATGGTTCATTTGTACACATTCAAAAATAAAAAGTTATTCATTACTATTAATGCATATATGCTTTTAAAAATTTAAAACAATAAATTGATACAATTAAAATATTTCTCAAGTTATAAAAAAAGTAATTGATATAAATTATCTTAATTTGATCCAATAATTGCTAATATATCTTTTTCATCGATGCTTATATCTAAATCTATATATTTAATTTACGTCACGATTATCTTCAGAGCTACTTTAATTATAACTCAAGCACGCGTTATACGAGTCAAAGTCACTTATATTAAGAATAGATAAAGTAAAACGACTGGGTTCTTCACTTTGACATTATCTGCGAAGATATTTGTATATTATACATGTATTGTGAACATAATCAATTTCCTAGACATTTTCTTATCACTAAAATATTCTCATGGGAATGCCTGATAATCTTGAATTGCAGCTTTCCAAGGCTGCTGAGAAATCTCGAATATTCCTCTTACTTGCTTAAAACGGAATTTCTTTTTAATAAAATAGGAACTGAAGAAACTTCTGCATACGATAGAATAATAATAAATATGTTAATCAATCTTTATCTATTTATTGATATCTCCCCACCAATAATGTTGGCTAATGAGGTGTTTTGTAATGCTAAATAGTAAAACGATAATTAACATAAGTTCAATAATGATATTTTAAAATATACAACAGTGCATGCTTATAATAAAGAAATTAAAAATACAAACACAAATACTGAGGAGCCAATAATGTCACTTATGAGCCAACGAATCAGTTAACCCGCTTCTTTATTACTGAGCGTATTCTGATGTACGACAGACTAAGAACGAAGGTTCTGTATTTAAAACTGCTCAGTTGACTTGTCACCTCGTAAACGAGCGCACAAGATAAACTTAAAATTGCTCCATTTAGAGCAAGCTTACTCTGGTTGTTATTTATTGTTCTTAATATTGAAATAAAAATTCACGTGAGTTGATTGTTTTAGTGTTTATCTGTGATAATACACCTAAAAGATGTTTCGAAGCACCTTTTATAATTATTATTGTCTACTTGTACCTGTGTTTCTTCATGACTCGATCATATGACTGTTTATTTAAGTGGAAGATATTTAATGACCATAATTGCCGTCAGATTAGTGATTCTTAATATATAATAACAGTGCGGAATATTTATTTTATTTTGGGCTAAAAGTTTTTATTTTATCTGTGAGAAATGGTAAATAAAAATTTGCGTTGTTCAGTTAGTACTATTCAAGTTATTACTGGTAAGTTTGTTGAAATATTTTTTTCAATAAATGGATTATATCGTTTTGTGAAGAAAATTGTTCGAAATAGGTGTAAGTCATAGATCTAATTTAAAATCCGGTCGATAGAGGTTAGAAAAATTTAGAAGCCACGTTTTCGAGTAAATCACAGAAGTACACACTTTGAATTAGTATACTATAGTGTACACTATAATGTTAGATAATGAGTTTGGTAATTGTTTGAAACTAGCACTTGTTATTTTATGATACGGTTGATTTTGTTGATATCAATCTTTATATAGGGTATAAAAAATTTAAAAAAAGCAATATAGTTTGTTTTTTTTTTTTTTAATTATTATTATTACCAATAATAAATAATAAATAGAAACATCATGCGGTTATTAAGAGCCTATTTTCTAAATAAATTATTTCAATTTAAAAAATGAATGTTTAAAAAATAAAAAAGATGTTTTTTAAAAATCCCAAATTAAAATTATAAAACCCTACTCCAAATTACTTTCTTAAAAATGACAGCTAAAAAATAAAAATATTTTAAGAAAAAATTCATTGACTATCAATTTTTTTAATAAAGAAAACAATATTTAATGAAAAATTGACATTTTTATGAAAATTATATTATTTTTCATAAATAAAAAAATATTAATAATAAAAAAAAAAATTTTAATTTAAAAATAATCATTATTTTGTTTCTTATGATGATTTAGAAAATGACAAAACTGACAGTAAAGAACCAGCCTCGGATTTCGAGACGGCACTGTCTGCGACCGGTAAATAAAAACAAATTTCAAGCATAATACGTATTAATAAAATAGTAATATATTAATAAAAGCAAGAGAATTTTAATGATTGAATAATTGAATTAATTAGGCTTCGGACCGTTCAATATTTTGATGGTGTTGGCATTGATCCCCATAGCGTGGGCCAGCGCTTTCGATATGACGTCTGCAGCATTCGTTTTGGCTTCAGCTGAGTGTGATCTCGAATTAACGTTTATCCGCAAAGGCTTACTCTGCAGCGCAGTATACATTGGTATATAAACATTTTCAATAAGACATACACTCTTCCAACAAAATTAATCAAGATCACAGCATGCATTAATTGAGTGTAATCTATATAAACAAAAAAATAAGAAAAATAATGTCTTCGGCATATTAATTATTTTGAAAGGAAGTTTTATTAATTTTATTAGTTATCATCAGAAAGATTTTAGTAAAAATTTGCGCGTTATTACGGTTTTATATATTTTTCAGAGTCAATTTTTTTATGTTAAATTTTTAGAGGAGTTTTGAATAGTTTTTTGGTTCAATAAATTTGTTCCGTTACACTTATCCATTAAATTATCTGTAATTGTTAGTACGTAATAATACAATAACAAATAAAAACTCCTAAGTAATTAACATGAATATTATTTATAGGGATGATGTTAACTCCATTATTCTGGAGTTTCATATCACATCGGTTCCCCAAACGAACACTTATGCTTTTTGGACTACTCATTGATTTTTTATGCAACATACTCTGCAGTATCGTTGACTCCTTTTACGTTTTTGTTATTCTTAAAATTATTACTGGTACTATGTAAGTATTTGACATAATATTTGCTCTGCGCAAATGGTTAAAATATTAATTACAAGTGTTGTATTTAAATTTGAATATGATAATTTTTCATTATAATAGCGTTAGCGGGGCTTTTACACTCCTGACGACTTATCTCAGTGAATTTCAACCAAAAAAATATCGAGCTAAAGTGATTACTTGGGCTGGCCTTTTATTCAACGCAGGATTTATCGTTCCAGCAAGTAAATATTTTATTCTATGATTTAAACTTATAACATTAAGCATTGCAATAACTGTGTCACTATCAGTATCAATCATTAGTATGTTGAGCAAATGTATATGTCAAATGGACATGCTTCAATGAATCCGAATCTTTTTAATGATTTATCCATAAAACTGGTTTCTATCGCGGCAACTGGAATTATTTAATTCAATGTCAATTATTTGTTTTTTACGCCATTCTAAATTTTAATATTTATACATTCTAATGAATTATTCATTATGTAAGACTTTCAATTTATAGCTATAGTAAGAACTCATAATTACAGATAAATAATTATTTATTAATAAACTTAAACAATTTTTCCTTATAAAAAAAATTTTGAAACTATTGCTAATATCAGTTGCTATATTTACGTGATTGTATACTTTCTGATCATTATGGACTTTCTTTCAACAGTTTTGGCTTTCAATGTTACGCCACAAACATGGACATTCATTCTTTTCGATCGAGAATTCACAGCTTGGAGGATACACTACATTTTATGCTGTATTCCATCTATTCTTGGTTTTATCATCTTGAGCTTTCTACCGGAAACTCCGAAAATGCTTATGGAAAATGGATACCTTCCTAGGGCCTATGATCTATTCAGACGCATTTACGTAATCAACACTAGATTGCACATTGATACTTATCCGGTAAAAATATAAGACAACATTTTTAAATCAATATTTCTTTACTATTTCGATTATTTATAAAGTTGATTAAAAATCTTTTTTATTACAGATTAAATTTCTGGAATCACCTTCGAATAACTTTAATAAAACAAACGAGGAATCGAAATTCCAAAAATTTCTTGAAACTTGGAACGATACAAAAGAATTATTTAAACCGCCAAATTTGAGACATTTTGTGATAAGTAACTTACTGCAATTCGGTAGTATGCTTTCGTAAGTATTGTAATGATAATAATATTGATTAATTTTATGATAATAATAAAAAATAAAATTCAAATTTTAATTTGAATAAGAATAATAATTTAACAGCAAGGCGCGGTTTTTATTCCCACCTAATATTTATTTTTCAATTAATCATTATTCATTTTTAACAGAAAAAATCTTTATGCAAATAGACACCCTTGAAAAAAAAAATTGGATAATTATTTTTAATCAATGATTTCATTAAATTTAATTTATTGAATAAATTGATAATATAGTAAAACGATAGATTATAAAAACAAAAATAAAGATAAAGAATTAAAGGGTATTACTATATCAACAGATTCAATACAATGCGGCTTTGGGTTCCGCACATGTTCATCATAATCAACAACTTTGACTACTCTCGGTGGGATCCAGCTCGTGGCAATCCAACGATATGCGAGTACTTGATTCCTGGCGTGATTCCCCCAGGTCTCGCAAACGAGACTTTCTATGCAAATCACACCTGCATTCGGGTAATATGTCGGTACTGTAAATGCAGTTAACATTGAATTCACCATCTCTCATTTGTTCATAAGCATTTCCGTATCTTCTATTGTGTTGCTCGCCATAAATAATACTCACCAAACTCAATGCATCATTATACGTTATTTCAGTACTCAATTAATGAGTGTTTAATTTCAGTGGCACATAAATCCCAGCGTATATATCAATTCAAGTATTATTGCAGCTTCCGCTGTTGGAATTTCATTTCTTGTTGGCCTATTATATACCACTAAATTAAGAAAAAAAATTGTTTTAGGTAAGTTTAATCCATTTTTATCATTATTCAAAAGTTTATTTACTTATTAAACGATTAGTTTATAATATTCTAAATAATTATTACTACAGTCGTAATTACTTTAAATGATTTTAAACTCTAATAAAATATTTTTCATTTCTTTAGAGCAAAAATAATTAGCTATAATTAGTTTCTGTAATTCAATTTATAAACTAATAAAATTCTTAAATTTTCCATCAATTTTAAGACCTTACACTTAAATTTGCAAAGTTATTATCAAAATTATCAGAAGCAATAATTTATAGTTCAATAATATCATTGTATTTTATTTTATCTAGTTATGGGATACTTAATCGCAATACTCAGCAGTTTTGGAACTAATTGGGCACAACTTGTACCTTTAATGTTGACCCTATCAGCATCTATTGTAGTCACGGGCCGAATAACGGCTAACATAGTTATCGCGGCTAACGCCGACGTCATTCCCATACCGTTAAGGTAATACCCTCCGCATCGATGCTTTTGATAACTTTATAATAACTCATCCTTCCGATCTTTACATCTTTTGTCTCTGCTCTACCCTGCTATTTTAATTACCTATTAAACTTATCTGTGATGCATAAACTTACCATCTATATAATATCAATATTTAGGGCAACAGCTGTCAGTTTTATCACAAATACTGGAAACTCAGCGAGTATTATTGGAAATCTCGTATTTTCAGCTCTCCTCGAATTTCAATGTCTCAGTGCGTTTATTGGAATCGGCGCAATGTTAATACGTAAGTTTGTCAATAATACAGTCTTTTATTCATGTTACGTAATTCATTAATTTAATCACTAGAGTCTTAGCATTAATTACTCCAATTGATGTTATATTTATTATAATTGTTTTTTTTTTTTTTTTTTTTTTTTTTTTTTTTTTTTATGCAGCCTGTATGATTATATCATTATTCACACTGCAAACAGAGAAGAAAGAAATAAAAATCTCCCCGTCATAAGATAAGTGAATGAATAATTGGAATTATCAGAACGAAGATTAATTGAATTATACGTATTAACTCAAAGACGATAATTATCAATTGACAAAAGAGCAGTATTACCTAATGGCCCAGCTTACTTTGAAGATAATAAACTAACAGATGAAAATTGTAACAATTATGACAATGACGATGTAGATAGATATTATTCCCTCTTATTATAATTAAACTTCTGTATAATAGTTGATTTGCGTCACTGACTGGAATATAATTGATAGAGATACTCAAGTATTTGCCTTCAACCAGTCACAAGTTTCACTTGAACTTTGTACTTAGAGAATCAATATCATAGAACTGAATCAATATATTCACTATTATATTTATTTCTACTAATGTAATAAAAAAAAAAAAATTTCGGAGGATCCGCAGGTGCACGCCTCATAATTTTTATTTAATTTATAAGAAAAAAATAAAATGTAATACCATCAACAGTTAATAATGGTATTTTTGTTTATATACAAGTTCAATATGAATATAAGACATTTAAAGTTCACAAAACTGCTCGACTTTCATTAGTTGAGAGTAATTCACTACCTCAACCGATTTACGTTATGAGGCGTGCAAAAGGAATTAAAATTTTGAAATGATAGTGATGGTCATGACGACAACTAATTTAATGTGTACAATATCTCAATTTTTTTATAATAAAATACTTGATATGTTATTGTGATTTATTTTTATTATATCATTTAGATTGTTCATTTTTTTTTTTTTTTTGGCTAAAATGATCCTTTTTAGAAGATTATATTCGTTGAAAAAAAAATCTTATTTTTTTACTCTAAAATAACTTTTCCAATTCATTTTTATAATGTACACTAGGTTATTTTTTATTCTATCGACGTTTGATATATAAAATGATAAAAAAAATTGTATCAAATGTATTATTGAGAAATTTTTATGTATTTGAACTTTACTTCGATGAATTTACATATTTAAAATTTTTTAAATCTTTCGTTTCGTGTCTTTTCTTTATTTTCCTTGTATGCGTAATTGTTTATTTATCCTGAACAATACAGATAAACTCGTAATTTAATGACGGGATAGAACAATAATAGCTGAAAGTGCGTGATACTCTCTCTATCACAGAACCGATCAAATATCGTGGATCGTAGGGTAAATTTGGATATTACAGATTGCTTACAATAGTAGTTAATTAGCTCGGGGCAGATATCCGGTTGTTTGCCACGCGAGCAACTTTTGAAATATCGTTCATTCATTGACACAGTAAAGTACTTCGCATAGCTTACATATAATATGTTATGTGCGGTATATATTTTTATATATAAGTTGGAAAGTACATACGGATGTATGCATTTGTGTGTGTAAAGTAGATGGCAGTTTAGCGAAACTTGCATAAATGTTCTGCAAAATATAGTTACAAATCGCTCACTTCGATATCTCAAAAGTTAACTGGAAGTGCGACCTTTCAGAACGAATATGAACATTATAAGTTTTGAAGGAAATTACTAACTCAGTTCCGTTACCTATCACGTTATTAAAAGTTTTTTGGAAAAATAAATAACGTTACCTGTACTAAGATAAATTTGTCTTACAATTTTGTTAATCTGTTTATCATGTACATGAACGTGACAGAATATTTTTTCAAAATTAATTGAGTTTCAAAGGAGTTTGTATTTTGGATAATTACAAATAACAATTATAAAATAGAAAATATAATTACGGTGCCATTAAACAGTTTATATATAATTATAATTACGTAGTTTTAGTTTAGTGGAATATTACCAACCACTAAATTACATCCTGGCACAAATTCACACGAACTAAAAACATGTACTGAGTTAGTAACTATCTGCTATAGATTATGAGCCGCTTATTCTAACTATCTGAAATATTCTCGAATACTTTTTGGATCCTTTTAACTAAAGGATACTAGGAAAGATAAATTTCTTAATTTAAAAATTTATAAAAAAGTAAATTTATTGATTAATTATAATTCTCATTTCTTAAAGCCATAATTTTACCTTTTTTTTTTCTTCTGTATATTTTATTTGTTTATTTATTGATATAAAGATTAATTCAAGCGCTGGAGATATAAAAAACTTAAAGGTGCAACATCAAAAAGATCTATCAGCTACAGTCTACTATCTCTAGCACACGAACGCTTATGATGGATATGCAAAGTTATACAGTTTTATATTGAACATTTATCAACGAGGTACCTCAAAGCATTCATTTATCGTCAGTATATAAAAATGCAAATAAGATGATCTACAAACATGTTTGCACAAAGTATGTGACGATATGAAAATACAGAAAAATTCGTTTATTAAATTTTCTCACTCACTTTTGGAATACTGTTATTTATCAGAAAGCTTGGAAGTATTAATTTAAATTATTCTTCTTTGTATAGTTCTGCCGCATTTATACCGAAAATAAATTAATTTTCTAGAAGATTAATCTCATCAACTTATTTTTTATCCATAAGTACAGTAGTTTTGATAAAACTACATATTAGTGGCTCATTTTTATTTATTCATCATTATTCAACTTACCATACGTGAAGAAATTGAAGAGTATAAGGAATCTTTATAATAAGAATCTTAATTAGACATATCATAGGATAATAAATAGAGTCATCTTTAGTCATTCTTTTAAGAATTGTTACCTTTATGAGCGAGGATATTATCATCGGATGATAATTCTCGGTAGGCAATACTACATTTTTATTGAGGTAGAAAACTGTACTCCGATGAATTACTCAACTCGATGCCAACAAACAAGGATTCTTCTCTAACTCCTTCTCAATAGATCGATCTCTATACCCTGATAGCCAAACCGGTCGCAACTTTCCGTTGATTTGCTGCAGCAACTTGTCACCAAGTTGGCGGCAAGTCTTGGAAATGAACTCGGTTGTTCACCAAGTTGTCGCCAGAAATTGCTTTCGAAACTCTTTCGCACCAAGTTGACGACAAGTTTCTTGAGAAATTTGGCGACATATTGCGGCAGTAGATTGGTCTTGTTTTTCTCAGAAACTTGTAGCCAACTTGACGCCAACAGTTTCAAATTCGGAAGTCGACGCCAACAGTTTCAATTTCGGAAGTTGACCGCAAGTTGTCGGTAAGTTGGTGGCAACTATCTGACACCAACTTGGTTGGTCTGAAACTGTAGCTCTATCAGGGTATATAACTGGACGAGCTTACTCAAAGCTGAGCAGATAAATGATGAGCAAGCTTTGGTAAAAAGGAAGTTGACTAGACAGTAATTACCACATGGCGTTATTAGACGATTATGTCAGAATAATTTTGAATTAATCGAGATAAAATTTATAATATTTTTTAGGAGAAAAAATTTGATAACAAAAACTTTATTTCATTAATTATACGAATTTCTCGATCATTAAAATTTAAAACAAGCAATTTATTTTTTTTGACTGAGAAAATTTAGCGACTGTGTATCTTCAGCAAAAATTTTGAACATTATCTACGATATTGGTTCGTATTTTTATAGCATAGTGATTTATTTTCATATAATTCCTTCTAAAAAATGATGTATCAACTATCAGACCATATCTATAGTTAAATGCCACCGCAATAATTCAAATATTATCTTATCATATCACAGACTTTTTATCAAAAAAATTAGGTTAATTAATCGTAAAATGAAAATGAACTCCAGAAAACTCTTAACGAACATTTAAACAATTAATTCAATTATTATAATTGAAGTTATGATTCTATAATTAAATTTAATTTTTGAAGCTTTAATATTACTTAAATTATTTCGTGACTTTGGTAATAATCTAGTCGCTATAAATCAGAGGCTAGAATTTTAATATAAACATAAACAGTAATAAAAATAAAAAGAATATTAAAAATGTTTATACTGAGTCGAATCGATTGAACGTAATACACAGGATGACACCCACAAGCTAATAGATGTTAATTAACCTGAATACACTTTACCTTTCTTTTTGTAGTAGTAATATAAACACAGAACAGCCACTCCCTATCTTTCGTGTGCTTATTACGCCTGCTAGCTCATTAACAATACTATCTATTAAAATAAATTTAATAACTATATTCATCACACAATTAATAAATCGTCCAGCTAGGATTATTAAAATCGACAATTTGAAATTCTGCATTTTATTCTCGGAGGAATTTCAAAAGCAGCATTATGTAAGTCCTAAATAGTTTGTCGAGCTAAATGACACAAAACATGTTGCTTATTAGACTAGAATAAAGAAACTAAGGAATTTTATTTAAAATTTTTAATTTTCTTTGAAGCATTTATAATTAAACTAGAATCCTGTGAGCTTGTTTGAATAAAAGATTTGTGTATAATGTTGAGATGATAAAAATCATATTTAAAACGAGGAGAAAAATTAATTTTATCTAAGTCACGAATTTAGTTATGAGGTTTTTTTAGGTGAAATGAAATACCACTTCAATGATGAGAATTATAATCGCCACTACTTGTTATAATTAAAAGTCTCATAGTAGAGTATGTTATCTAACTTTTTATCAAAGTTCTTAGATGAAATGTTGGGGCTAGTTTCGTCTGGCCTGCATTAAAATGACAGGTATGCAAGTATTATATTATACCTTCTGCTTCGCTATGCTATATGGAATTATGATTATATATATGTCTTACCATTATAAATTATTCATGAATAATATTCTTATTTTGAAATTATATCCTAGACTGTAAGCTATATTCTATAAACCTTGTTATACAAAGATCATTATATAATTAAACTTATCGAAACTAAAAAATAAAAATTATTATCTGCTCTTTATTCAAGAGGTTTAATTATTAATTAAAGAGTTAATTTTTTTAATAAAAAACTGAATGTTCTGAATTAAAAAAAAAAAAATTATTCTGGAGCGTAATTATAATAAAATTGTTATAAAATTACATTAATTATATTAATAAATTAAATTAATAAGGTTATGCTCTAATAATTAAATATATACAAGCATGATAATACTAATCTTGAT